CAGGTCGAAGCTGTGGTGGCCGGGAGTGGCCACTGCACTCCAGTCTGGGTGACTGAGTGAGACTCCAACTCAAAAAAAAAAAAAGAAAGCAGAAGCCCCCACATCCCAAGTGGTCGACCAGGCTCAGAGGGCCCAGATGCAGGGCAACTTCCAGGCCTGCACCCTGCATGAGACTCTGGGACTTCCCTTCCTGGACCGCCCTCTGCCACACAAGTAACCCTCCTCTCCCAGTCCTGCTCAGGGCCCTCCTCCTGGAAACCTCCTTGACTATTCCTACTCATCATGACTCTCTTCTGAACTCATGACAGTTACTGCCGATGCTATTACTTTGGTGCTTACTCATGTAATTATTTCATTATATGCATTCTTACTGTCTGTGATGTTATTTAATCTTGCCTATAAATCCTGTCTCTCTTAGCTTAATTTTAAGCTTCCCATGAGTGGAAACCACAATTTTTATTATACATATATATATATATATATATATATATTTTTTTTTTTTTTTAAATCTTATTTTATTTTTTGGAGTTGGAGTCTTACACTGTCACCCAGGCTGGACCTGCTGGGTTCAGGTGATCCCTTCTGCCTCAGCCTTCCAAGAAACTGGAACTACAGGCACTAGCCACCACACGCAGCTAAATTTTTATTTATTTATTGTAGAGATGAGATCTCACCAAGTTGTCCAGCTGGTCTGGAACCCGTGGGCTCAGGCAATCCTCTCACCTTGGGCTCCCAAAGTGCTAGGATTATAAGTGTGAGCCACTGCACCCGGCCTATTCTTTACATTCTTACATTCTCCTGTGTCACTCAGCATTCATGAACATATATTAAGGCTCCTGCCTTTTGAACTTGACTGCTCCGTTAAGGGATTTTTTTTTTTTTAATTTTGCACATTTTAAAGTCAACATCTAACATTTATAAGAAAACAAATGAATGAATTGGTGAATCCAGCCTACTTTGGGGCCTATTAAATTCTACTATGTTCACCCCTACGATATTTATGTGTCTGAGACTAGCCCTAAACCCCAAGCTTAGTTTTGTTTCATTTGGGCCACGTGTAGGGTTTTTTGTTTGTTTGTTTGTTTGTTTTGTGAGTTGGAGTCTCACTCTGTCACCCAGACTGGAGTGCAGTGGCCGCTCTCGGCC